TTTCCTTTTTTGAGACAGAGCCTCACTGTCACCCAGGCTGGAGTGCAGTGTTGTGATCTCGGCTCACTGCAGCCATGGCCTCTCAGGTTCAGGTGATCCTCCCTCCTCATCCTCCCGAGGAGCTGGGACCACAGGCATGAGCCAAGGCATGTGCCATCCGCCCAGCTCATTTTTCATAGAGACAGGGTTTTGCCATGCTGCCTACGCCAGTCTCCAACTCCTGAGCTCAAGTGATATGTCCACCTTGGCCTCCCCCAAGGTGCCGGGATTACAGGTATGAGGCTGCCGTGTCCGGCCTTTGTTCCATGTTTTCATACTTACTTCAACCCAGTGTTAACAAAGTCTGTAATAAATGTCAAGAGTTTTATCTAGTGACTCAGAAAGGCCAGATAAAAACAAAGAGAAAGAAAAAAGAATCACATCCATCACATGCACAGCACCACGCTGGATGCTCATCTCAACTTAAGGAAAAACCTGAGGCTAGAAATGTATTTTCCTTACCCTCCAAGCAATAGTAGTGCTAACCCCAGACGGCATCCATTCACTTCTCATCAAAGCTAGGACTACAGGTGCATGACCATGCCTGGCGACTTTTTAACTTTTGGCTAAAAAAGCTGGGGTCTCACTATGTTTCCCAGACTGGTCTTTAACACCTGCTCTCAAGTGGTCATCCTGCCTCGGCCTCCCAAAGCGCTAGGATTACAAGTGTGAGCCACTGTGCCCGACCTGTACTAGCTTTTACACTGAACCATCAGCTCTTCTGAAAAGGAAGGAAGGGAGAGAGGAAGAAAGGAAGGAGGAAGAAAGGAAGGAGGTGAGGAACAAAGGTGTGAGTGTGAAAGAGAATTAACACGATGTACTTGCTGGCCGGAAGGAAATGGGCTACCAAAGATACTTCACCAGCAAAAGGCAAAAATTAATTCCTCAGGAACTGGCTTCTTGTGTGTGAAATGATTTAACAACAAAGACCACGTGCAGCTGCTGCTCCTCTTTGGAATGAGCAGCTTTGGGTCTCAATCTCTGCACACCTCGACTAGGCCTCACTGTTCCCTCCTGGGTTCTTACTGAATGCAGTTAGTGGTAAGGAACTTCACGCCCCTTGACGCACATGTTTTTGTGGGAAAATTCCACGTAAGTGCTTTGCTAGAGACCACTTCTTACACTCAAATCCATCTGAACCCACCTTCTTTCAGACAACGACAAACAGAAAGCAAGAGACAGGTGAGGATGCAGATGAGGAAAAGCATTTGAGGTTAATTCTGTGAATTCAGGTGGTGTTATGAAAGTAGTCCACGTGTGTTTAGTAGAGCAATTAAGAACATTCAGTCACACAGTTTTAAGCTTACTCATTCCCAAACAGGTTTTCTACGAAAAAGAGAGAACCCCACATTCAATGCCAACATCAGTACTCAACGGCTTGACATCTGCAACATCCCAGTGCTGCCGAGTCAGCGTTCCTACAAAGCTCTAAGAGGACCGAGGCCCTGCGGCAGATCTCTTCCTTCTAGGTTTTGCACATTATGTACCTCCAAAGCCAAGGCTGTCTTGTCGTAGGCATTGGGGACTCGCTTCTGGATAACCCTGGCATATATGGGCCCATTCTGGAGGTTAGGGAGCGGAGTGTTGACGCTGGGTTGCGCATAGGGCCCCGGCTCCGGCCCACCCAGTGGCTGCGGGTGGGAACCCTCCTGGTTACCTCCAATCAGAGCCGACACTGAGGCGGAGGCAGGTCGATACTTCTCGACGTAAGGGACTGGGATCATCCCCCTCTTGCCTTCGCTGTCCTCCGCATTCCACCACTGCTCTTCAGGCTTATCCCGGATTCTCAGGATGTCTCCTTTCTTAAAGGGAAGATCTTCTTCATCATTCCCATTAAAGTCAAAGAGGGCTCGCACATACTCCGCCTCCTCCTGCCTGAGAATCACTCCACTACCCTGCCTGGATCTGGAAACCGGTTCTATCAACGTTGTAGTGTCCAAATAGTGTATTTTGTAGAATTCCAGTAAAGCAGGCAATGAATCGAACTCTTGATCTCCTATTCGGAGTCTGGAGGGGCTCACCCCTGGAAAAAACAGAGCAGGCTGTTATTTAATGATGTACTACACTGGAGACGAAACGCAGATTTTATTTTTCTTTTTCAGAGTTGGGATCTCACTATGTCACCCAGGCTAGTCTCGACCTCCTGGGCTCAAGCGATCCTCTCACCACAAACTCCCAAGTAGCAGGGACTACAGGAGCTCACTGCTGTGCCTGGCCAAAATGGAGATTTTATGCTTGCTCCATACACGTTTAGTCAAGATTTAATCAGCAAAAAAAACTCTAGAAAAGATAACCCCTTCTCTTCATAGCATACCAACATCACAGCTGGAAGCAGAAACACCCCTGGGAAGAAGGACGCACATCACTCCCAGCCCGAGAGAAGGATCAAAGGCCAGGACAGACGAGGCTGCTCAGGACGTGCTCGAATCTCCATCAAAGACAGGGGGACTTTTGGCGCATTCTCCAAATATGTTCTGTTGCCACCCCATTCACAGAGCAGCACAGGGCTCACAGTCCTGTTGCATCTACTTTTTTTTTTTTTTTTGAAACTGAGTCTCACTCT